AGGGGACAGAACCAGCTAAATATTCACAGGATTGTAGGACACTGTGCATAACTCAGCCCCGGCCCTGGAGCGGGCCCCCATGTCCCCAACAGGGAGGGGCTGAGCACCCCACTCCCTTCCGCTCCGTCTTTAAGTCTGCCTGTGTGCCTGTCCTAATAGCAAAGGTCCAGAGAGGTGACGGCCACAGGCACTTCTTGCCCCGGCAGGTCAATATTCTTTACCGTTTCTTCCTCTGAGCCCACAGTGGAGAGAGCACCCTCAAATGAAAGAGGCTCAGAGGAGAAGAAGACCCGGGGCCCGGCGTCAGGGAGCCCCCGGCTTAGTCGGTGAGCCCAACTTCATCCACAGGGCTGAAGGGTGGGCTCGGGGCTGTGGCGATGCAGCAGGGGTTGAGGGTAGGAATGAGCTTAGAAAAGGAAACGTGGTCATGAAGCCCCTGCACAGGCTGGCCAAGAAGGTGTCCCATCAGCAGGACCTGGCTTGTTTCCCCAGAAAGGATGCCAGCCTGGAAGGCAGGGTGGAATCTACAGACATCGAGGCTCTAGACTTCACCCGGGGGCTCGTCAGAGTCTCCAGAAATCTTTATGGCAACAGGGGGAAATGAGCCCGAATGGGAGGTTTGCAAGGGGATTCAAGGAGCTAGACCACCCTGAGTAGAGCAAGACAACTGTTATCAATAGCAAAAACTAGAGGACTTACCATAGCTGCTCAAATGATTTTGAACGTTTGTTACCTGGTCGTTTTTATTATTGTTTTAGACTTTAAAACATGGAATCCCAATTGGCCGAGCTAAAGACAGTGTTCTAGGTGACACCGGATCTCGTACAGCAGCTGGGGATTTGGAAGCACGCTGTATCTCCCAGGGCCCTGAATGCCACTGTCCCTGGTGGCTCGCGACATCTGTGTGCAGGTCTGCAATCCCAGAGCTTGCTGGTGACGGCAGGCCTGTTTACAGCCCGGACGCGAATCATGAATGATGAAGCCTCCCCCACCCCCGCCACGTCTAGGGTGAGGTATCATTTTACATCAGCGGGGCTTTATTTTTCCATTTGCATTCACCGCCGACACAGCGTCGAAGAAAAATATTTTGAAAAGAAAACATGACCCACCCCATGCCCCAGACCCACCTGCCCTTTCCCAAAGGAGTTTCTGTGCTTCCCTGTGAAAACGGTGCGGGCAGGAGGCACACACACGGGCTCTCGGCTGGTCTTCGGGATGAAGCAGAGCTGGGGGGGGGGGGGGGGGGGGGGGGGGGGGGGGTCCCAAGGGGGCCAGCAGGGGGGCGGGGCCACCCCAGGGGGGGGGGGGGTTTGGTTTAAA